TGGCTCATGCCATGTCTAATTTGTCCTTAGGTTTTGTCTAAACTAGGCTAAACCATCCTAGTACATTATTCTAAGTGTTCAAAATATTTAACATACGTATTTTTACAGTATGTGTTTGAAATACATTGATACTGATACTGCATTAACTGTATACTATAGACCATTGTTTCTCACCCTTGGCAGCTTAAAGATGTGTGGACTTCACCTCCCAAAATCCCCCAGCCAGCCTTGCTGGCGGGGGAATTCTGGGAGTTGAAGTCCACACATCTTCAAGTGGGCAAGGTTGAGAAACACTGCTATAGACCATTTTGATTTATGGAACCTAAGGATGAAGAATTTTTGGTTGTTTTAAAAAGACAAAACTGTTGAAAAAGGAAGTGTTTGTCAAGATGTCACAGCTGTTTATAATATTGTGATGGCTAATCATTCCTGGATATGTTTCCCTTTTGGTATGAAAACTGCTTGCTTATTTTGATATTCTTCCTCAATGGAGAACATAAGTACAGGTAGTCCTCGCTTAACAACCATTTGTTTAGTGATTGTTCAAAGTCACGACAGTGCTGAAAATAGTGACTTACAACCAGTCCTCGCACTTAACAACCATTGCAGCATCCCTGTGATCATGTGATCACGATTCAGGCGCTTGGCAACTGTCGCACATTTACAACAATCACAGCATCATGTGGTCACATGATTCCCTTTTGCAACCTTCCCAGCCACTTTCCCACAAGCAAAGTCTATGGAGATGCCAGCAGGAGGTTGCAAGTCACAGTCACAGTCACATGATGTCTCACTTAACGACTGTGGGTGATTTGCTTAATGACCATAACTAGGACTGCCAGAACTGCTGTTGTAAGGTGGGATGGTCATGTGATGTTTTGCTTAACTGCTTCACTTAGCGACAGAGTTGCAGGTCCCAATTAAGGTCACTAAGCAAGGACTACCTGTAATCTCTAGGAGATGACATAACCCTTACCATCTCTTCCAGTTAAGAAGAGATGAGCCTGAGAATAAGATGCAGAGAGAGGAAACTAGAAAGCCAAAGGATATCTGGGGGACTTTCCCCACAGCTGAGTTAAAGCACTAGCCACCCATCTTGAGTCAGCAAGTATTGTTTTTATACCACCATGAAATCTGCTGTCCCCATTACAGATCCATTTTCTGCCTCTAGTGCTTCTTTTCCCATTCCTGCCAGTCACCTGAATTTCCTCCAAGGTCAGGAGCTTAACAGATTTTACATAACTTCAGGCTTGAACTCTGTCAGAATTAGGGAAAAAATAGTACTTTAACCCTGGTACAACTAAGGATGACTTAAAGCTGTCTCACTCATGGGCTGAGAATGAAATGAAGACATGAATATGACAGACATCAGTATTATGAGGATTCAGTGGAGCTTGCTATAAATTCATTTTTTTTTTAGGGGGAGCTACAAGCTGTAAGTTTTAATGTAGATGCTATTTAATAATAAATATACTGACTCTCTTTTTAAAACATTAGTTTTCTAAGGGTAGTTTATTATGCTAAGGATTCTGTAAATTGTATTAGGGCCGTCCAAGAAAATTTGAGTATGCCTAAATTCCATTCAGATTAATACAACAGACTATTTTATGGGTGCATATTCTGAGAAAAAATTAACAGTTTAAATGGATGTATCAGATAATTATACATAAGCACTACCTTCTTAACATTTAATTCAATAGATTTCAAGGAAATGCATCATACCTATCATTTGTTGGATCATACTATTGACTGATCACACTGTAGCTTAGCTCAGCTTTCGCTATGAACTGAAATTAAGTAGGATTGTAAAAAACCATCCTTGATGAAACAGTGTTGCCTAGCGGAGCTTCAGAAGCATGCCTTCCCTGTCACGGTGCCTGATTTATGAAACAGCCTCCCCCCAGAGATATAGATGGCCCCAACCCTGTTGGCCTTCAGAAAAGTGGGGAAGACTTGGCTTTTCCCCCAGGCACTGGATCCAGGTTGTTGATGGAGCTAGTGGGAGGTGGTGGGTGGATGAATGCAAGTTTCATTAGGGCCTCAATGTTGTTTATTGTTTAAAATGATCTTTTTTAGTGTACAGTATTCTGTTTTTATTCTGTTGCCACCCAGAGTTCCTTCTGGTAGATGGGCAGCTACGTAAGTTTGTTTAATAAATAATAAAACACACAACTGACATTACCATTTAGAGATACAGCAGAAAAAGTTCCTGCAGATATTCCAAAAATGTCCCTTTCATATATTTATAAAATATTAGAATACTGATAATGCTTTCTCTGTTGATTCAGATTTCAATTGCTGTGTTAGTATGTAGTCAAAACTTACACAGCAGTGAATGTGCAATCATTTCAGTCACATGCTGGCTGCCATGATTATTGTACATTAACCTTGGGTAAATTCCTTAGGGCAGTTAGAGGATTTAAATACATCTGGGATCTCACTATCAAGTTTGGAAATTATTTTGTAAATTGGTTTTTTCCAGGAAGGATCCAAGTCCCGCCCTGCTCTGATAGCACTAAAGAACTCCTGAAGGGTCAGACTGGCAACATCCAAGAAACCATCAGGAACCTATGAAGACAGAATGAAAAGTTTAGGAATTTGAAATACGCTCTTTGTTAATTTGGCACCTGTGTGATCAATCTCATTTTAGCAAAGCCATTATTCTGTAGTGTTTGATAGAAACTACCTGTGCTCCCCAGGACACCATTAATTTTACATCATAACTGGTAAGTTGTCAGTTCTTGGTCCTAGTTATTTCTACCTATAACCATTTAAGGTTTGATGTCAGAATTTCATTCTGCCACGCAGGGACTCATCCGTGCAGAACTTCTTATTTAGTTATTCCATTACGTACTGTTCTGAACCTCCTTCTCTAAATAACTTTACATGGTTCACAATCTAAAAACATCTATATAAAAATCCATCCTCAGAATAACAAAACCCATTAACTGCCTCCAAAAAAAAGTAACGAAAAAGAGGCTTCGTGTCAAGGACCTCCTTAACAAAACGTGTCAAAGGAGTCAACCGTGCATTTGGGGCTGTGTATTCCACAGTACCAGAACAATCACAGAGAGGGCTGTATATGTATGAACAAATGCTCAAGTACTTATACCCCATGATGTGGCTATAATTTAAGCAGTTACCATTGTTACGTTGTCATTAAATCTATTTGGAATAAGAAACAGAACTTCTCTGTTACTCTTATTAGATAATTCAGGTGTTATTCCAACAACCTAAGTCTATATACAGGTGGGATTGGAATGTATCTAACATCACAGTTTGTCAAGATACAGTGGTATGATATAGCTTCCAAAATTACAGATTCGCAATAAATATTTGCAGGCTACAGTGATTACTGGGGTATACTGATTTGAAGGGATTGTGGATGGTGCCTTTTCTATGGTGTTCAAATCAACTCATAATGTTCTAAAATAGTAAGTAGGGAGAAGTCTAGTTTTGGAACAAAAGTCACAACTCAGAATCAAGTATAGTCTCACCTCAAAATCATTTCCTTTGTTGTAATGGACATTAAGGATCCGGAAGAGCTCAGAGTCCCTGATAACAATGAGATCATTGACTTCTGTAATTCCTTCCAAGACGGCTTGCCTCGCAAACTTTTCCATCTGGATGTAATAAAATTCACGGAAATTGCTAAACCACTTGATGAGTTGGGAGGTGATACAGCGAGTGAACTGTTAAAAAAGAGCATTTAACATGGCATTATAGGCTAAATTTTATTTTCTCTAGGTACTACATTGTATTATACCTGTATGGGTACTTCCTCTGAAAACATTCTTTACAGGTAGTCCTCACATAACAACGGTAATTGGGACTGGAATTTCCATCGCTAAGCAACATAGTCGTAAAGCGCAATCTCATGTGGCCATGCCACTTAGTGATGGAAATTTGAACACTTCACTTGCCATCGTTAAGCAAGGGCATCATATGGTCACTACTTGCAACCTCCTGCTGGCTTCCCCATTGACTTTGCTTGTAGGAAGCCAACAAAGAAGGTTGCAGATGGAGATCATGTGACTGCAGGATGCTGCAATGTTGTAATCATGAGCCAATTGCGATCACGTGACTGTGGGGATGCTGCAACAGCCAAAACTTGGAGGACCAGTTGTAAGTACCACTTGTTCAGCACTGTTGTAAGTTCAAATAGTCGCTGAACGAATGGTTGTTAAGCGAGGGCTACCTGTACAGTGTAAATCTGAAATTATTTTGTACACACTGGAACATAATATAATTGGTACTTAATTTTTGCATCATCTTTGTTTACTTTCTCAGTTTCACAAGCATCCATGCTCTGCTATTGGAGATTTTGGAGAATCTCCTATACATTAACAATGGAATACATGAAGTTGAATAAGTTTACCTGTATATCTAGAAAATAAGCTTTCAATAGGGAAGATGTGGGATAGCGAGAGAAGAAGAACATCAGTTTAGCCTTTTTCAGATGGCCAGGGGTCAAAGCTTCCTGGATTTAATCTGGAGTCAAGGAAAAAATTGTTTGCCCAACTTGATCTGTACAGCTATCCGGATTCATAAGACAAAATGTGTACCACCTATTGGGAACTACTTAAATTAAAAACAACTTTTTCTGCAATTACAAATCAGCTGTAGAGGGCACCCATGCAAGCCCAGGAAAACATTTCTGCTTCAATGTGTTCCCAGGAGCAGATGCTACTTGAAAGCCCAGGTGTGCTCCAAATCCTACTTTGCTCTTCAAATCGGGATGTCTGCACAGCCCTATCAATGTTGCCTCCTGGGGTTCCTTTCTATTGATGTACTATATAGCAGTGTTGTCAGGCAGGACTTTGAGGCAAAATTCTAGGATCTCACTTGGAAGACACATGAAGTAATGCACATTAGCACGCAAAGGGTGATATCTCTGCAAGAATATAAAGACCAGATTGTAAAAATACCTAATAGTACCACTATTACTGAGATATCTTGATCCCATGCAATGGAGTCTAGCCAGGAGACCTATTTTTGATTTTATGCTTCATCTGGTAGATTGATTGATACAATATTTCTTGTGTTTGTTCCAAGCAGATTTCAGACTACAGAAACGGTGAATTACTGAGAGAATATGCTCCAAGTCTAAAAGCTTCATATTCAGATCCTAGTACAAGGAATACTTGGTGAATGCAGTATTTTCTGTTATTAAGCAATAGTGATTACAGTAGCTTCCTTCTTTATTAATGTGTGCAGGACTCAGCTTGTCAGATTAGGGGGAAATAGTTCAGAAGTCAAATTGTTGCAACATTTTTGAGCATAATCTGTACCATACAATAAAATCTTAATTTTGCAGACTTCCAGCAGATTTTGAATGATGCAGATAAAAGTTTAGCTTGGACTTCACCCCCTAAGAACAAAGTCCATTGTTTCCAATTTGGGCAATTGGCATAATTTGTCATTTGTGTAAATTTCATCAGTTGTATAATTACATACTTAAAATATTCCATCATTTGTGTGATTAATTATGCAGCTACCTTAAATTTATGGAAATGACACAATTGCATTACAGATACTCTTCAAGTTACAACTATTCGTTCAACGACCATTCAGAGTTACAATGGTGCTGAACCAGGGGACTTAGGACCGGTCCTCAAGTTTCCAGCCATTGTAGCACCAGGCCTCTCAGGGTCTCCCACTGCCCCCTGTGGCACCTCTACACTCCTTACCTGGGACTCCCTCCACTTCCCACTTAACGACCCATGTGTCTTAGGGTTATGATGGCAACCAGGACTGCCTGGATTGCCATCACTAAGTGATGCAGTCACATGACATTGCGCTTTACAACCATATCACTTAGCAACGGCAATCCCAGTCCCAATTGCTGTCATAACTAAAGGACTACCAGTAATTAATTTCGTGAATTGAGATTTAAGAAACACCCTTTTCTCCTAAGTGGTCTTAACATTAAGGTTTTACTGTACAGACGACCCATAATTAAGAACAAAGCCTATTGTAGCAAAATTTGAGTTAAATACACAATGATTCGAGTTAAATATACAATACTACTTACACAATATTATGCAATAATACTGTTCCAGTTTACATACAAATTCGACTTAAGGACAGACCTTGTGAACGGAGCTCATTCTTAAACTGGAGGTACCTGTATTCTTCCCCCTAAACATCAAGGGCAGACTCCCCTATTAAGTTAGGAGTTGGCACCTCTATCAATAGGCAGCATAGTTCATTTGTGCCATTTGCATTTATTTTCTTGAAAATCATCCATGCTGTACAGATAGATTTAACCTAATTAAAGTATAGCCAGATCCAGGCTTTAAAACAATTGCATAAAAGAGTTAAACTAGATTTAGTTTTTCTTCCCTTCATAATGTTATAGTGATGAGAGAAGTTGCACCTGGCAGAATTTTTACGTTTATGTTGCTTTTAAAAATGCAGTACATTGTGTAGGTTTTGCACATATCTTGCTCTCTACATTACATAGTATAAAGCAAAGCTAGTGAGCCTTTGGCTCACTATGGTATTCTTCATCATCAGCCTTACTAGTTAGACCAACTAGGAGTGTTCTAGAGTTAGGATGAGGTGGATTAATTTGATTGGATGGTTTGAGATTTTCTGAATGAGCTATGTGGATTTCCTCCTCCCAGATTAAAGTACTCCAACTGATGTTCTGTTGGCTCAAGGAGTTCTGCCACGCTTTGTATGGCAAGTCAAAGGTTGCACTGGAAAAGCAGGTGAGGCCAGAATTAGTTGCCACTGGAAAAGTTGAAGGGGGCAAACATAAAAGTAGCTTCTTGGGTATTTTTTGTACAATGTAACATTTCTTTCTGCAGCGACAGCTTTCATTCTAAGCAAGCATTTAAATTTCATCTTACAAGTTAGAAGGAAATACCATGGTTCAGGCATCTTTCTTGTAATCAAGGAATGCACTATTAATTTGGCAACTGACAACTAAAGGGATGTTGCTAGTGACATCATATCACATAGGCAGAGATAAAGGTAAACTGTTTGTGGAGGTTTCAAAGTGCATTTTGCATTTTGCCCCTTAACCCCCTGGAGAAAAATAGGCCCAATCTTTTTTTTTTTGGTGGTGTCACTTTTTTTAAGGGGATAAAATGCAAGATATAAAGCCCTAATTTCATTCATAGTGGCAGGAAATATTGACTCTAACCACTTCAGAAATGCTTTGGGAGTACTAAATGCGTGTTAATGTGTTGCATGCAGGCTGCCTCTCCTACCTTAAATGATTATAGTGGTTGACCTCACCCTTTGCAAAAATGTTTTAAAGACCCTCAAAGGATATATGTCTTGCTGAGAAGTACACTCCATCCACCATGGCATGCATTTCAGCAAACACTGCATTTGTAGAAGGAAGAGAAGCCAAACTTTCCACTTCAGATTTATGGGATGCTGGATATTGTTGTTTCATGACTGATGATTTCAGTTTGATTGGTTGCCATGGCACTTCTAAGGACTCAGGAGTTACCATTCCTGGAGGAGGACTGTCCCAATGGCCTTTTTGACCACAGAATAGCATTTGGCTAAGAATACCGTGCTCTTGAACTTCAGAAGCCAAGATCAAGGGGTAATTCACTGGTGCCATTTGGCAAGGTTTTCTCTCCATTTTTGATTGGATGGGATGTATAGGAAAGCCTGGAGGTTTGGGAAGCCACTTACTGGATGTATTTCCTCCAGGATCTGTCCCTATGGAATTATTGGGCAATTGGGATTGAAGGCTTGATGATTTAGGCAAGACCTTTTTCAAAACTCTGTCTACAGCATGTGTCATTACCTGTATTAATTCTTGTTTTAATATTTCTGAAAGTGTTGTTTCTTCCAAATTTTGAATGTCTGTATCTTCTTTCTCTGACAGCACAAACCCTCTTATCTTAGGTGTGCTTTTCCATAAATAATCTTTATGTTGGTCACAGCACAACACTGGACTGTTGGTATCTAACTTAGGGTCATACATCTTCAACAAGGCCATAGTTCTCTCTATACTTTCTTGGCTTGGACTAGAGTCCTTTTCCTCATAACATTGAAGAAACCTCTCTCGAAGTTGCTTCAGCTGATGTTGCAAAGCATGGAGCTGTTTTTTCAGCTGAAGGAATTCTTCTGCTGAGATGCTGCTTCTATGAGGTCTTGTCAGGGAAATTCCTGGCAAACTTTGTTGTTGAGGAAGTTTCTGCTTCCTCTTGTTCTGTCTATAGCTCTCCTTTACTTTCTCAAAATTGTGTTGATCCTCTTCCTCTAGAGTATCAGACACTATCGGGTTTGGCATGATATTCATTCCCTGGATAATATTTTCCACTCTAGCCCTCTTAGCTTGTAGGTGTTCATTATGGAATTGATTTGTGTTACTAAAGCCATAGACAGGCAGTGGACTCATGGCAATGGCTTCCTTAGAAGATGTGTGTTCAGTTTTCTGTGAGGAGGGGAGAAGAAAGCTTGGATCTAGCTCACTATTTACTTGTGACTGATTAAGAAGATGTGATATTATAGATTCATAATAAGAAGGAGACCGAAAAGAATAATTTCTTTCAGCACAAAACTCTCCTTTTTGTCCATCTATACATACAGAACTAGGAATATAATTACACTGATTCGCAATATTATTCACATTCATATCCTTTTCTTCTTTCAGGATGAAGAATTGATATCCAGCAAAACAGCAGAAATTATAGAGGGAAATAACAACTTTTGATTTTGAGAGTACAGGTGCCTTATTATTTTGTATTTTATACTTCAATTAGCCAGGAATCTGAAGCAGAAAAAAACAGTAAAATATATTATCCAGTACTTAAACACACACTTGATTCACTGTGTACAAACAATCAGTCCTAAGAACTCTTCAAATACGCAAGAAAAAGAGTGCACACTAATATCTAGGTGTTCGTGGATTAAATTTTACATCCTGCCCAAGGGAGTGTATTTAAAACATTCCTAAAGAGAGGTTTGCAGAAAGGTATGAAGAAGACAATCTTTGCTATCAGGTTCACAGTGTAAAAAGACAGATCACTGGATTTATCACTGTATCATTTAATCTTCTTGGTTATATCCCTAGTATTTGGAATTTATCAGGACACAAAGATTTCTGGACATTTTTGACATGGGGTCTGGTTAAAAAAAAATTATACAGTATTGGAAATACACCTCCAAAAATGGATTGTTGATATGTACTATTTGTCAGCCTTCAAATTAGTCTTGTTATTTTTTTGTTGTTTTTTTTGTTCCTTTTGTGTTTTAATTGGTTTTTGACAAAAGGACCAGGAAGAAAACATTATGATAAATTTTTTGGAACTGCTTAAGATATAATTGCAGGTTCCCCCTCCTTTTAATTTTTTTAATATGGATTAAAGCTGATATTATCCTGCATTGTTCATACTGGTTTATGTATATGTACATTTCCTTTCTCTTAATTAATTTGAAACAATAATAAAATAAACTCCTGAATTAGTTTAGAAACTTAGCAGAGTCTGGTGTGGTTAATATTTGGATGGGAGACCACCAGAGAATACCAGAAGTGTAAACTAGATTGAGAACTGAAAAACATCCCAGAAGAAGGCATAGCTACTCTGCGGTTATGTTGATGTCACCAGGAATCAAGCTTGATTTGAGGGTGTTCCTACCTTTATCTCCTCCCCCCTCAAAATGCTGAAGCTGAGTTAATAGCATACTGACCACTCATACAGGTTATTAGCACAGATGCAGTATGTGCACAGTAAGGAACTTCAGCCAGTAACTCAGCCAGTGCTTTCTGTACTAGGTGTAAGTTCTGAACCAGTCCTGATAGTAGCCACACATATTACATATAAAAGCATCCCTCTTAAGAGTATAATGCAGGGATTACTGTAACCTGGCTGCCCTGTCCAGAAATGGGCACATCTTGTATACCAGCCTAAGTTAGCAATAGGTGTTCATAGACATTAATGTCAACAGGATGTCCAGCTGACAATAGCTTGAGAAGTACCCTCAAACTGCAGAAGATCCGTATCAGTAATTTATCTAATTTCTAGTCCAAGGAACATTTAGCCCTTAATGCCTCTATTTTATCAGGTTTCAAAGTCAATTTTACCTGACCTCATTCACTCTGTTTCTGTGCTCAAGCACCTGTCTAGGTTACAAATTTACTTTTCTGTTTCAAATGTTGCAGAAAAATATTGCTGGGTCTCATCAGTATTATGACATTTTGTGACACTTGAAAGTATTCTAAAATGAACAAAGTTTGGGTTTTTTTTCTTAATCTGTACCTATGTGCTGACTCTTTTAATGTACTTTTACTGTAAGGCAATGTAGTCTTGTTGCTGAATTGGATTCCAAGAGTGAGATTATTTTGGAATATGTCATACATGAATTCAGTCTCCAAATTTGTGCTCATTGGCTGTATTAATTTTAGAATTATTATCTGCATTCTTGTACCCTTGTTTCATTCCTCTGAATGAAGAGAAATATGTAGGTATCTGACAGTGAATCATTTCCCAGTCTAATGTTCTCTCCAAAACAACCTCTCAGTATCTGGTTATGAGGCTTTAAGCCACATCAAATGAGATGCTAGCAGTGATCAAAGATACTTTTGCAAACCTCAGAACTACCGTTATAAAAATAATACAAAGAAAACAGGTTTACAAGAAAAAGCATGACAGACAGATTCATTTACAAATCTATAACGTCAAACTTTTAAGAGGGGGAAAAATCACAGCATCACTCCACACGTAGACTACTGACCTCTTTTCTTATGTTCCCAGACATAAAACACTCACCTTGGCTGCCTTGTCCTTTGAAAGCATCTGAAGCCTGCTGTTGAATGAGAAAGAGGCAGAGCTGTCAATAAAGAGCTCTGTTATCACTGTGCCACAGTCACTGATAGGGAGTGAAAGAAATCAAGAGCAGCCAACCAGTTTGAGGAGCCTATGAATATGCAAAAAAAAATCAAAATCCATATCTTCTATTGTATATTCAGGCTTCCCAGTGCACAGGAAGGCTTGAGCCACTATAGTTCTGAAGAGATTGCTGAAAGCAATAATAGACAGTAGCATCATTTCATACCATATAAACATTTATTTTATACCATTGGACCACTGGACAAATAGTACTATTGGTTAAGAGTCATTGTCCCTAGGATGCTTGCCTTTTCTTGTTTAATGGCTATTTTGTGAAAAACAAACATGCATTGGAAAATTAAGGTTTGTGGTAGAAGGTGTTATCTGATTCTCTCCCACCCCTTAATAACATACTATGAATGACAACAATATTGTTATTGATAGCATACTGTTGCACTGGCTTTGGCTGCTACTCCTCTACAGGTAGTCCTCACTTAACAATGGTAATTGGGACTGGAATTCCCATCATTAAGCGATGCAGTCATAAAGCATGACATCACATGACCTCAATGATTAGCAATGGCAGTTCCAGCAGTCCCCTGTTAACCATTGTTAAGTGAATCACCATAGGTTGTTAAGCAAGGACCTCACATGACCACAACTTTCAACTTCCTGTTGGATTTTCCATTGACTTTGCCTGTGGGAAGCCAGCAGGGAAGGTCACAAATTGCAATCATGTGACTGCAGGACGTCGTGATGGTCAGAAATTGGGCTGATTGCCAAGCGCCTGGATCACGACCATGTGATTGCAGGGGCACTGCAACAGCCTGAACTTCAACAACTGGTCATAAGTACCACTCATTCAGTGCCATTGTAAGTTCAAATGGTCATTGAATGAGTGGTCGTTATCTGAGGACCACCTGCACATTACTTAGAATCAATTGACTAAAATGGCTTATGCAGGTAGTCCCCGGTTTAAGAATGAGTTTCTTTCCCAACGTCTGTCCTTAAGTCAAATTTGTACGTAAGGTGGAACAGTATTATTTGTATAATACTGTATAAGTAGTATTGTGTAATTAATTCAAACCATTGTATATTTAACTTGAATTTTGCTACAATAGGCTCTGTTCTTAACTATGGGTTGTCCTTAAACCAGGTGGACTACTTGTAAACCAATCAATCAGTGTTGTGGAGCATTTCTAGGATAATTGAATTTAATGTAATGACTCTGGCAGCTCACAGCATAACCATGAGAATAAAATATGATATAATTCAAAAAGACAAAACCAACAGAAACAAATAGAGTAAGGACAAGATAAAGATGGTGGATCTAATCAACAACACACACAAAAAGTCATGTATCAACAAAGACCGCAAGAGGCTGCAGTCACCCTAACCCAAGGCCTGGGAGAACAGCCAGTCTTTAAAGCCCTTTGGAATGCTATCAGGGTGGGAGCTCCCCAGATCTGGGGGGGGGGGACCTCTTTGCAGAGAATAATAGCCTCAGAGAAAGCTCTCAAGTGTTGCAGCTTTTTGAAACAACCTACCACTGCCAGAAAGCCAATTTTCAGTGCCAGAGTACACTGCAGTCAACATCTCATTTTCATTTTTCTTTAAGCTAGTCTAACCAAAGGTTCAAGACTGCTGTTCATGAAACATGGGTAATGTTACCTCAGATCAGGCTGAAACGCTTTAGAGTAGAGTTCAGCAATATGTTACCCTCTAGCTGTTTTTTAACTGCAACTCCCATCAGCCCTCTTCACTGCTCGTTCTGGCTAGAGCTGATAGGAGCTGGAATTTTACATTGAGAGGGTATCTCTGCTTCAGAGGGAAACTAGTCAAGTGTAAGTAGCTGTACATCCCAGGTGTTGCAGTTTCTGCAAACGGGGATGAGAGACAGGTTCTGCCAGTCATGTTTGTTGCTGATTAGGTCACCAATGAATGCATTACAGGTTTTCTCCTGCTTCTGCCAATATGGGATTTTGCATGGCTATACTTTTTACTGTTTCCATTACTTTGGTGGGGAGGGGTGCCATTTAGCCTACTCCGCAGGCTACTTCCAATGCTGGCTATGGCCACTTGCTGCCAGCCCTACCAGGGGCATCTGTGAGCGGGGTTGAAAAAGTCAAAATGGCCACCACAACCATGCAGTCACTACTCTGACTTCTTTTTGTGGAACACATGCTAAAAAGGAGTGGGTTTCCAGTTGCATGGTTGTGGTTGCCAGCTTGACTTTCTTGCACCTTCCTCTGCAGGTGTCATGACTGTCAGGCAGGCTATTTCTGGACACGGCTTTTTCCAAAATCAGGCGAAACGCGACAACAAAGCCCATCCGGAGCAGCCACCTAGACACACCGATCCCCCTCCCACCACACCTTAAGAACAGTTGGCCATTTTTCTCCACTGGCAGGTGATGCTCAGTGGGAGAGGAAGGGAAATGGGAATTAAAATGGCGATGACATCAGCCTCATGACTTGGGCACAACAGCGACCGGTACGGAGCGCGGCGCAAGGTAAGCCGCACGCCCTCCTGCTGGCTCAAGGGCTGGATGTTTGCGAGGTGAAACCGCAACGCACATTTCTTCATGTTCCCTCCGCTGCCCCCCCACAGACGCTCAGTAAGATCTGAGGTTTGCATGAACAATACGAGCGTTTAACGTGCTGCTCCTTTTCGGTCATTGTACATATAAGGAGTGCCCTGCTGCGGAATCTCATCTGGTTTAAAGCAGAGGCTTCCTTCGTTGCTTCTCCCAGGCGACTTTCAGCGGAGGGAAAAATGACTTTCTAATTCCAGGCAGAAGTTACACACCACTTAGGACCGACTCTACACATAAGACGCCTATCTACGGAGCCACTCCTCTTTCTGCTAGCCTGTCCTACGATGATTCACCCAATCCACGCTTCCTCTGTGGTTCGGTTCGCCGCAATTGGTACGTCCCGCTTTATGTGCCCCCTCTCGCTGGCTACTCTTGGTCGGTCCCAACTCGTATCCGGCCTCTGCCGGGCCTGGTTCCGGCGTGCGTCCTGCAGTTCATCCTTTTGCCGTTGTTGCTGCCGCGATGCTGTTAGTTTCTCTGGCCCGGGCTCGTTGCTTCACCCGGGTGCTCGGCCGTTCGTTCTGTGCCGTTCAGCAGGTACCTCCCGGGCAAGAATGGAAGGCCGGAAGGGAGGTCGCTGCTTAGGAGCCAAGGGCTGAGGTGGGGGGACTGGCCCCAAGGGCAATGGGGGCGGGGGGCAGCGGAGGAGGGGCCCGCTGGCCAGTGGAAAGGCCGATGTCCTTTTTCTCTCCAGTCTGTGCTTGACTACAAGTGTATGAGGGACAGCGGCTTCCCTTCTCAGGCGCCTCATAGAAGATCCACGCCCAGGCTGGTGCAAGGGCACAGCGACTTCCCAGTGTGAGGCAAACCACGTTGGACAGGCGAAGTTCTCTTCGAAAGGGTTGAACGAAGGTTGGAAGTCTTGGGACTTAGTAAGGCCCAGTCTTGCAGGGAATTTGCTGAGCGTGAAGGTGGCTCTGAAGGTTGAAATACAGCGAGATCCCTCTTGGTCCAGAATATGCAGGAGGAGCAGGGTTTTAATAAAGAATTTTAGTCTTTTGACCCCCAGTTGCCCTTGTAGCACGGATATCTGCAATTAAGCTTTAATCCCCCTATTTAAAGCAAATTTAAACATTATTTTCAAATTTGCGTGATGGTATTCTCCTTAGTAATGGTTATCAACATTGCTGTCCTGCAAATTGCTATGCTGTCACATCGAATTTGTACTATGCAAAGAAGATGCCTTTCAGATATATTTCCAGAGGAATTTATAAAGCTCTGTAAGGCCAGCACACTGCCCTTTAGCAGGATCCCCATAAAGTGCACTTACTTTCTGGTCTCCAGTATATTTTCTTCATTTATTCTTGTACAATAGACACATATTTTGTACAATAGTGTACTCTGAGAAGTGATAAAAATATTTATTGGGATGTGGATCATTTCTTCACTAGGAACTTAGTATATTATCATATAGCATCATTCAGCCCTTGCTGAGGCAATGTAAAGCCTTTTCTCAATACCATTATGTCAGCACAATGATGATTATATGATACTAGACATATAAATCATTACTGTAGTGAGAATATGGGTAATTAGTAATATGCATGATGAATGATTTATGTGTCTAGAAGGAACTAGTTTTTTTAAAAAATGGGGGAGCACTTGGACACAAGTGAGGGAGGATTGGTCAACATTGGTCAGGTTCTCCCAGGCTCTGTGGCAGAATGAAAGGTGAGCCTACTGGACAGGTTTCTTTTTTATTATATGTCGTTTTTGGGGCCATTCATGATTCCTTCTTTGTGTTTTGCGGTTTTTTATTCTTAATTGTAAGCTGCCCAGAGTCACTGGGAGTTGGGCAACCTATATATTGTATAAATAAATGAATAGGTGGTTTTTCTATATATTTAAAAAGGATGGCATTTGCAAGACTAAATGTAATGTTGTAGAGGGAAAACTAAGGTATGAACAACTATAAATTGTTATTGTGAAATGAAAAACAGAAGAAACACACATTCAAATTTGTGGATTTGAATTAAGTAAAATGAGAAACAAATATTTTGGCATCAATGAAAGATGGAAAGCATATAAGATGCAATGATGAAATGTACATAGTTCCTCCAAAATAGCTTTGTGGATTATTTATCTTTTGAAACTTGGGTAGAAAGTTGGCTAAAGTATCAGTGAGCTTTCTGCAAGTAGAAGAAAAAAGTTGGTAAGTATAAGTGAAAATGGAATATATTAGCCTTATGAACTATTGGATAAATGAAAAGGAATGTGGCTATAATATGTTGAGAGCTTGGATAGAGTTGTAATTTATATTTAGGATTATATGAATCTATCATCATGGAGAAAGTCTGTGTGGTCACTGAGAGTAGACAACGACTTGATGACACATAATTAATCCATGGATCTATTTTCTCAAAGTTCATGACTACTTCATAAATGTGTGGTTAGCATCTTCCGCAAGTGAGGAAGACTTGGTATGATAAGATGGTTTTAGCAGACAAAGGGAATGTTGTGGATATAATCTGTTTCTATTTCAGCAAAGCTTTTGACAATGTTCGTGTGACATTCTCATTGACAAGTTCTTAAAGTGTGGTTTGCATAGCACCATAATAAGGATAGTACTGATTGTCTGACCACACTCAAAAGAGTTAGAATTAATGGATCTGTGCTAAGTTGAAAATCTAATGGATTTCTGTAGAGATTTTTCTTGGGGCAGTATTACAGTATTCCATTTTTTAAATTAATCAGCTGGATAACAGCATTGATTGGCTGCTTATGTGGATGACACAAAATTGGGAGGTCTGGCCAACACCCAGGAAGATAGAACAAAATTGCAAACTAATCTGGACAGGTTGGAAGACTGAACTGAAAGAAACAGTGTCCTTCCAACAGGAGAACTGTAGGGTATTATATTTAGGGAGGAAAAAATATAGAACACATGAACAAGATGAGAGCTTTATGGTTTGGAAGCACTACATCAGAGAAGGACTTGAGTGTGGTCATCAGCAACAAGCTGAACATGAACCTGTAGTGTGAGAGAGCTGGGCTAATGCAGTTCTGGACAGTATCAGAAAAAACATTGTATCAAAGACATGTAAAGTTTTGATTCCCTTCTGTTCTGCACTGGCAAGACCCTACTTGGAATACTATGTATGATTTTGGTCACCACATTTCTAGAAGGACATTGACGGATTAGGACAAATTCAAAGAGCACAACAAAGATGATACAGGGATTTGAGGACATGTCATATGAAGATAGGCTGAAGAAATTTAGGATGTTCAATATGGAGAAAAGATTAAGGGGAAACACGACATCAGTGTTCAGATACGTTAAAAAGTTGCCATAGTGAAGAAAGCCAGGGACTTTTTTTCATATTTTTATACAAGAAAAACCTTCCTAATGGTAAGATCTGTACTACATTAGAACAGTCTGTCTATGGAGGTTATAGTTCCTCCATCTCCGGATGTTTTTAAAAAGAGGCTGGACAGCCACCTCTTGAGGATGCTTTAATTGGTTTTCCTGCACATTGCACAGGTTGACCTAGATGGGACTTCTAGTCCTTTCCAAATCACAGTTCTATGGTTCTATAATCTCTGATTGTTTTTTTATGAAATGACAGAGAAATTCCAGTGGATTGCATTTTTTATTTGTTAGAAGCTTATTTGTTGTAAAACTACTGAGAAATCATATACATTAAGTCGAAGTTCTTGTAGGTATCCTGAGAAGGAAAGAATAATATTCTTACCACACTATTCAATTTGGTTATAGTTTGCTCTGCCTTTTTATTAAATTTTCCACATTTCATTTTTAAAAATATATTTTGGATGGACCATTTTTTAAACTAGAAATCTATGCTATGAAAGCAAAAATGATGACATTATGTAAATGATGGATGCTAAAATTCTTAGTTGCAAACAAATGTAAGTTTATGTGGCTGATAGTTTGTAATAGACATTTTTTCTGGTTCATCGTGCTATCTTTGTAATCTGTAACAGTTTTCCATAATCAGCTGCATACATGCAAGAAGTGTTTATCTTCAACTCCCATAATACTCAGCCAGCAATACCCATGCTTACTGAGAATTATGGGATCTGTACTTGAACACATTTGAGGGGCAACAGGTTTAGAGAACTGGAGCTAGGTCTTGTCCTTGCAGCAATGTTTGGTAGTCAGCTGTGACTTAGCATTTACAGAGGAAGATTGAGGCTTAGTGACTGATCTTGTGCAAGACCACCAGCAGCATTGTTAGATGATCTAGGATTTGTACCCATCCTTTCCACTTAGTACATTCATATTGTTGTATTTTGTTTTAGACACATAGAATATAGTTTCTAGTATATAGAAAAAGCATGCATAATTGAAAATTGATTGGATCAAAGCACCAAATTTACATTCAGAAAGCCTATGTTGCTTTAAATAAGAAAAAATTGTATGCTTCATGATAATTCTAAGATAAGTTTTTGGCTGGATTCTTACAATAGGCAATCCATAATGTGTGTATGTGTGTGTCCCCTAGTCTATTATGTGAATTCATTCATTGTGTTTTATATACAGTGATATAGGATTTAGATGTTCCTCATCTGTTTTGCGCTGATGATCCTGTTTTGGGAACACATTATTCATGTTCTTGTCAAATGGTGCTTGCGGGTGCGGTGGGACTTATTAACAACACGGAGATGAACCCACTTAAGCACTGACTTACTAGAATGCCATTACTTCCAACTTTTGGGGGGGATGGGGAGGGCATATGGGCACATTTCCAAACCAAGTACATTTTTATTTTCAAAGAAAGTTTATGATTCCCATTTGGAGTCCCGAGCCATTTTTAGAGAGAAAAATATTGTTGGCAGCTGAGACTTTTTATTTCAGCATACAAACTTCCTTTTTTTACTTCTTTAAAAAATTGTAAATAATCAAGTGAAGAAAGGAATATATTTGAAGGCACATTGGAGCCTAGGAGCAGTATCTTGGCACCATATTTGACAATTCAAGTTTAACATATGGAAATGCAGATGGTAGTGGTCTGTTCAGTAACCCATGGCCAAGCAAAACATGGTTTAATGAGTTATGTGAACATAATCAAAGAATCATAATCTGATATCATAAAATAATTTATGTCAATAATTGTTTAAATC